TGTGAGCCATCCCACCCAGCCTTAAGAAACAGCTTTCTTTTTTTTTGAAAGGGAGTCTCACTCTGTCACCCGGCTGGAGTGCAGTTATTTGATCTCTGCTCACTGCAAGCTCCGCCTCCCGGGTTCATGCCATTCTCCTGCCTCAGCCTCCCAGGTAGCTGGGACTACAGGTGCCCGCCACCACACCCGGCTAATTTTTTGTATTTTTAGTAGAGACAGGGTTGCACTGTGTTAGCCAGGATGGTCTCAATCTCCTGACCTCATGATCCACCCGCCTCGGCCTCCCAAAGTGCTGGGATTACAGGCATGAGGCACCGCGCCAGGCCAAGAAACCACTTTCTTTGCTCATCCATAAGAAGTAACTCCTCATCTATTCAAGTTTTATCATGATATTGCAGCAATTCAGTGACATCTTTAGGCTCCATTTCTAATTCTAGTTCTCTTGCTATTTCTACCGCATCTGTAGTTACTTTCTCTGCTGAAGTCTTGCACACCTCAAAGTCATCCATGAGGGATAGACTCAACTTCTTCCAATCTCCTTTTAATGTTGATATTTTGATTTCCCCCCAGGAATCATGAATTTTTTCTGTTTTGTCTTTTGAGACAGGGTTTCAATCACCCAGGCTGGAGTTCAGTGGCGCCATCTTGGCTCACTGCAGTCTTCCCTCCCAGGTTCAAGCGATTCTCCCACCTCAGCCTCCCAAGTAGCTGGGGCTATAGATGTGCACCACCACACTGAGTTAATTTTTTATTTTTGTTTTTTGATAGAGACGGGGTTTTACCATGTTGGCCAGGCTGGTCTCGAACTCCTGACCTCAAATGATCCGCCTGCCTTGGCTTCCCTAAATACTGGGATTACAGCTGTGAGCCACCACTCCTGGCCAGGAATCATGAATATTCTTAATGAAATACAAAATTATTAATCATTTCCACAAGATTTTTGATTTACTTTCCCTAGATCCATCAGCGGTATCACTGTCTATGGCAGCTACAGCCTTCAAAAATATTTTTCTTTTAATAATAAGACTTGAAAATCAAAATTACTCCTTGATTGGCTACAGAATAAATACTCTTTTAGAAGGCATGAAAACAACATTAATCTCTTTGTATGCATCAGAGTTCTTGGATGTCTAGGTACATTGTTAGTGAACAGTAATATTTTGAAAATAATCTTTCTTTCTGAGTATAGGTTTCAGTAGTGGGCTTGATATTTGGTAAACAATGCTGTCAACACATGTGCTGTCATCAGGTTTTGTGGTTCCATTTATAGAGCACAGGCAGATTTAGCATAATTCTTTTTGTTTTTTCTCATGGGGTGGGGGAAAGAGAAGTGATTAGAATAATTCTTAAGGGCTCTAGGATTTTGCAAATAGCAAATGAGCATTGGCTTCAACTTAAAATCACCAGTTGCATTATCTCCTACGAAGAGAGTCAGCCTGTCTTTGGCAGCTTTGAAGACAGGCACTGACTTCTTCTCTCTAACTATGACTTTCCTCAATGGCATCTTCTTCCAGGAAGGCTGTTTCATTTTCATTGAAAATCTGTTTTTTAGTGTAGCCACCTTCATCAATTATCTTAGCTAGACTTTCTGGATAACTAGCTACACCTTCTCCACCAGCACTTGCTGCTTCACCTTGTGATTTTATGTTATGGAGATGACATCTTTCCTTCAACCTAATGAATCAACCTATTTTAGCTTCAGACTTTTCTGAAGTTTCTTTTTTTTCTTTTTTGTTTGTTTGTTTGTTTTGAGATGGAGTCTCGCTCTGTCGCCAGGCTGGAGTGCAGTGGGGCATGATCTTGGCTCACTACAAACTCCACCTCCCAGATTCAAACGATTCTCCTGCCTCAGCCTCCCGAGTAGCTGGGATTACAGGTGCGCACTGCCACACCCAGCTAATTGTTTTGTATTTTTAGTAGAGACGGGGTTTCACCATGTTGGCCAGGATGATCTCAATCTCCTGACCTTGTGATCTGCCCACCTCAGCCTACCAAAGTGCTGGGATTACAGGCATGACCCACCGCGCCCAGCCTCTTCTGCAGCTTTATCTCTCTTATCCTTCACAGAATTGAAGAGCACTGGGGCCTTGCTGTGGATTAGACTTTGACTTATGGGATATTGTGGCTGGTTTGATCTCCTATTCAGACCACTCAAACTTTCTCCAGATCAGCAATAAGGTTGTTTTGCCTTCCTATCATTTATATGTTCACTGGAGTAGCATGTTTAATTTCCTTCAAGAACTTTTCCACTGCATTCTCAACTTGGCTAACCATTTGGCACAAGAGGACTAGCTTTCAGCCTCTCTCTGGTTTCAATATGTTTTTCTCACTAAGCTTAATTATTTCTAGATTTTGATTTAATTAGGAGATATGGGACTCTTCCTTTCATTTGAACATTTAGAAGCCATTGTAGGGTTATTGGCTGGCCTAATTTCAGTATTATTGTGTCTCAGGGAATAGACAGGCCCAAGGAAAGGAAGAGAGATGGGAGAACAGAACACCTCGTCAGTGGAGCAGTCAGAATACACACATTTATCAATTAAATTTGCTGTCGGTATTAGTCTGTTCTCACCTTGCTATAAAGAAGTACCTGGGCCGGGCCGGGCACAGTGGCTCATGCCTGTAATCCCAGCACTTTGGGAGGCCGAGACAGGCGGATCACGAGGTCAGGAGATCGAGACCATCCTGGCTAACAAGGTGAAACCCCGTCTCTACTAAAAATACAAAAAACTAGCCGGGCGTGGTGGTGGGCGCCTGTAGTCCCAGCTACTCAGGAGGCTGAGGCAGGAGAATGGTGTGAACCTGGGAGGCGGAGCTTGTAGTGAGCCAAGATTGGGCCACTGCACTCCAGCCTGGGCGACAGAGCGAGATTCCATCTCCAAAACAAAAAAGAAAGGAAGAAGTACCTGAGACTGGGTAATTTATAAAGAAAACATTCTTGCATTGCTATAAAGAAGTACCTGAGACTGGGTAATTTATAAAGAAAAGAGCTTTAATTGGCTCATGGTTCCACAGGCTGTACAGGAAGCATAGTGGCATCTGCTTCTAGGGAGTCCTTTGGAAGCTTACAATTATGGCAGAAAGCAAAGGGGGAGCCAGCACTTCACATGACTGGAGCAGGAGGAAGGGGGACATAGGTGCTACACACTTTTTTTGAGACAGAGTCTTGCTGTGCCACCAGGCTGGAGTGCAGTGGTACAATCTTGTCTCTCCCATCTATCTTTGTGTGTGTGTGTGTGTGTGTGTGTGTTTAGTAGAGACCGGGTTTCACCATGTTTACCAGGATGGTCTAGATCTCTTGACCTT